TGGAGGCTGAGGAGGTTCACATCGGGTGTTTTTACTAGTTTTAATGTTGGGCAAAAACAACAACCAGAGACTGATCTGTGAACGGGTAATTCTGTCCCTCCAGGACCAACAAGGCTTTAGCTGAGTCTCTGGACCGGGCCGTGGACCCACAGGACCCGCTGGTGAACAGGGTGCTGAGAATGATGGCCACTACTGCCATGTCACAGGCTCTGTACTTCTGCACCGGTCTTCAGTCCCAAGACCAGTACTACCATTACGGTACACCAAACAATACCTACGTGATATCTTTTGCTTTTAGTTTGTGGTTTGTTGTTTATTTTGTTTTGTGTTTTTGTGTTTTTCATTTATTCTAATCTAATTTCCATAATTTAATGGGATTATTTAAAGGTTATATATACGGAATTAATTTGCTGATAGATGTCACTAGAGCATCTCAGACCAAAACAATGGGCGCTACAGATGACCAGACTCCATCAACAAAACGAGTAATTTTACTCAGCAGGTAATTGTAAAATAAATAAACTGAGCAAACCATCGTTGATAGTCGCAGCGTAAACTAATGTTAATCCTTGGAGACAAATGCACCCATCAAAGTCCGTCCACTATAAGTTGTTTTTGTTGCCACTGATCAGATTGTTGTATATCATCGTAACTTCATTCAAAGTGACGAACAGAATAAAACTCATTAAAGCGTCTCTGTTAGTGTTTCCAACAATCACCAACTCTGGTTTGGTGGAAATAAATCCTTAATTCACCGACGTAGATGATAAAAACAGCAGTTTCAGTCGGAGCAGACCGGCTATGGAAACAAACCACAGAGAGGCTGCGATACAACACAGGCAGAGGGAGAGAGACACCATGTGACTCTGTGTATAGAGAATATAATGTTTTTATTAATGTTTTCATATATATAACCTTTAAAAAGTAAGATTCTTTGACTAAAAAGATGAAATAAAAGAACTGTGCTGGTTTCTCTCTCTCAGGTTTGGCTCTGGACCGTTACACACACTTCACCTCACCCATCCGTCGCTATGCCGACATCGTGGTCCACCGCCTTCTCACCGCGGCCATCGACATGGACAGAGGGGTGGACCGTGGTAATACATTAGTCGGTTACAAAGAACTGGCAGAAATGGCTCATCATATCAACAACAGGAACGTGGTCAGTGCCGTTCAGTGGTTCTGTGATTCACTGCTTTCTATGTACTGTGATATAAACTCTTGTGACCTCTGTGGGACCTTTCCAGGCGGCCCAGCAGGCCCAGAAGCTGTCCACAGTTTTGTTCCAGTGTCTCTACTTCAAAGAACGAGACCCTCAGACGGACCCGCGCTGCGTGGCGGACGCTGTCATCTACTCCATCCGAGACAACGGCATGTTGGTGTTTGTCCCAGAGTAAGAAAACGAGTGGCGCTAGTTACTGATTTCATTGTTGAAGCTACTTTTAGTCACATTGGTTCCTGTCTGTGGCCCCGAGCCCGTTGGCTCCTGTAGCTCTGACGGCGCCTGTGCTCTTTCCAGGTATGGCGTGAAAGGGCCGGTGTACTTGAAGGACCGAGAGGGCCTGGTGGTCGCTGTAGGACAGGACGGCGACTGCGAGTGGCAGAGCGGCTCCGTACGAAAATACCCAGACCACATCACCACCACCTCCGCCCGCGGCACCGCCACCTTCAGGCTGTTCGACCACATCACCGTCAGTCACTGAGCGAATTATTTCATATCTGATGTGGACTATTTAAAAGTCCAGTGTGTAACATTTAGGAGGATTTTACACAATTATAGTTATAGAACAAGGACAGGAATAACAAATGCCCATGAAAGCAGAAATGAATGTTTGTTATTATCATTTATTGATTGTACAGATATTGATGAATATTAACAATCCTCTGCCGTCCACAGGTTCGTATTTCTGTCCACTCGTCATCTTGCCACGCAGACAGTCTGAAGCTCGAGGTGATCAGCAACAAGCGCCACCGCAGCGGCGAGCCCCAGCAGCCGCGCTCGCAGGGCCGCAGCCAGCTGGTGCAGGAGGTGGTGCGTCTGGCTGAGGAGGCCTACCAGCAGGCCCAGGAGGTGGCGGCCCGCCGGCCCAAACTCTCCAGAGAGGAGAGAGAGTTCAGCCAGAGCAAAACTCCCAATCTGTACTCCCTCCTGGAGGAGGTGAGGGAGCTGGCTCTCATGGACCTGGAAGTGGTCGCACAGATGTGTGTGACTAAAGCGTAGAGCGGCAGCAACACGCACACAGCTGGACGGGGAGACGCTGAGGAGCACGATAGGTTTTTAAATTTAACAGATGACTGCTGGAAACATCCAAGAACAAATAACATGAACCTACATCAGGAGACTTTTACTAATGACCTCTTTTCTTCTGCAGTTTATTATGTGTAAACTTTGTACGATATAAATGATAAATGCTTTCTCTTTAAAGAGTCTTTGATATTAAATGAGGAGAAATATGCTGATTCTGACTTTGGTTATTCCATAAATAGAGAAGAACTTCAGGGTAAAGTAACTGATTATTCATTTGTTCATGTTATAAAACTGCAGTAGACACACACTGAGGCATTAAATGGTATTTTAACAACATTGGTGATGCTTTATTAGAATGAATGATTAAAGCAAAAACATCAGGAATTAATGAAGCACCAAAATGATCATTTGAGCTATTTACATTTCAAAACTACTGATAAAGTGCTTCGCTGTAGGGACGGGCTCGTCCTGTCTTCGGGTCAATTTGACCCGATTTCGAAATCTAAAATGTCATAACTTTGGTTTTCTTCCGTATAATTGCCTGAAGGTTACATGGATGGTTCCCTGCTATGCTCTTTGCAAGTCAAATTAATTATGTGTGTTTTATTAGATTATTTATAGCACCTGTGGTCTTCTCGGGTCAGTTTGACCTGGCCACATTTAGTGGTGCAATGGGTCTCTCTCTCTCTCACACACTCACACACTCACACACACACACACACACACAATCAAGCGATGAAGAGGACCCTGCAGAAAATAAAGACGTTTTCCAATCCAAAGATGGAAGTCTTCTCTGGTCCTCCATCCCTCCGAGTGACGGACGGCGTCTGTCGGGTGCACAGAGGGAGGGGAGCCCCAGAGGACCAACAAGGTGTGCTGTTTCTGGTGCTCACAGCATAAAGTCGACCTTTGAGTTGTTTATGCCAGAGAACATTGAGAAGATAGTGCTGCAAATGTGTGTGTGATGTGTGTGATGGACCAAACTGATCTACAGGGATACCTGGGTCTTTTGATTCTTGCTGGTGTCTACCGGTCCAGTAAAGAGGTTACGTCCAGCCTGTGGCACGCTCAGTCTGGGAGGGCAATTTTCTGAGCCACCATGCCACTGAAGACATTCAGCATCATCTCTAGAGCAATTCGTTTTGATGATCGCAACACCAGACCAGAGCGCCGTGCCAGAGACAAACTCGCTGCCCTCCGAGAGGTGTGGGATCAGTGGGTGTGTCACCTGCAGCTCATGTATAACCCCGGCACTGATGTGACAGTGGACGAGCGTCTGGTCCCGTTCAGAGGTCGCTGTAGATTCAAGCAGTACATGCCGAGTAAACCCGGCAAGTACGACATCAAAACCTGGGTAGCCTGCGATGCCCAGACCAGCTACGCCTGGAACAGGTGTACACAGGCAAACCTGCAGGTGTCCAGCCGGAGAAGAATCAGGGCCAGCGTGTGGTTCTGGAGGTGACGGAGGGTCTTCGGGGACACACCATCACGTGCGGTCACTTCTTCACGTCCTATGCCCTTGGCCAGGAGCTCCTGAGGAGGAAGCTGGCCATGGTGGGAACAGTGAGGAAGAACAAACCAGAGCTTCCCTCTGCACTGCTGGCGACAAGAGAGAGGGCCAAATTCTCTTCCCAGTTTGTGTTCACTGACACGCACGCTCTCGTCTCCTACTGCCCCAAAAAGAGGAAGAGCACTCTGCATCGAGACACTGCAGTTAGTGCCACGGAGGACAAAAAGCCCCAGATCGTCCTCGACTACAACAAGAACAAGGGGGGAGTCGACAACCTTAACCAGGTATACTGATAAGGTAGATATTCATTCAGGTCAATGCATTCTTGTGTAAGGAAATAAGAATTCATTCTTGAATGATTTGTTGCAGGTCAGTGTATACAGCTGTAAACGGAGGACAGCCCGTTGGCCCCTGATAGTATTTTACAACATGCTTGATGTGTCTGCATACAACTCCTTCGTGCTGTGGAGACAGATCGACCCAACCTGGAATCAGGGGAGGAGCCACAGGAGGAGGCTCTTCCTCGAGGAACTGGGAAGAGAACTTGTGACACCTCATGACACGACGCCCGGTACTTCCCCGCACGCCAGCCTCTGCCAGCTTGGTCAAGGCATTGACCTCTGCAGCTCCTCCTCACCCAGCTGCTGCTCCTCCTCCTCCTCCTCACCCATCACTTGTAAGGAAGAGGTGCAGATTCTGCACAAATGACAACAAAACCAGCACCCGGTGCCAAAAATGCCATGCACATATTTGCAAAACCCACAGCATCGTAACCTGCCACTCATGCAGATGAAGACAGACAGAGAGACAGTCAGACAGAGAGACAGACAGAGAGACAGACAGACAGACAGTGTTTTTGGTTTTATAAAGAGGTTAAAATAAGATGTTTTGAAATAAATATGGTTTGCTCTCTCTCTTATCTATAAATACAACTGCATCAGTCAGTGGTTATCCAAACTAACCATTTCTGCTTATTTTGTTCAAAAACACGATATAATTTCATGTAAATGAGGTTTATTGTCCATAAATAGAGGTGTAAAAGAAGTTTAAAATGTGTGGTAATGTCATTTTACACTTTATAAACAGTGAGTATAAACCCGAGAGGACAACAGGTGGAATGGGAATAGGAGGGTTAAGAGCGGTATATAACCTGTAGTGAATGTCGACCTGAGCGTCCTTAAACAGAAATGTTTATTGTTTGGCACTGTGTCCTGATGGATCAATGATGAAACAGCAGTTTTACAGACACTTCCTGAGAGAACGCCAAAGCTTTTAATGTTACTGCAGTGACCTTTCACACTCCACTGATGAACAATAACGAGGTGCTGTTAACTGCAGGTGGACACGGTTCAACAACAGACATTTCTGACATTTAAGGCTGAAACACACCAACGTCCTGTTTCCAGCATCACTCAAATGATAAACTATGACTACAATGACATTAGCTGGGTCCTCAGGCGAGTTTAGATCCTGTTTAATGAGAAGACTACACCACCTGCTGACGGCTCCAGGAGACGAAGCGCTGCGCCGCCGGTGTGTTTTAGTCTTTAGGGTCATGTGGCTATTTACAAGTAACACCTAGTACAACAAACAACAACAACTGGAAACTGTGAAACCAAACTGAACTCCGTTTACTGCTGCATAAACGGTTTAATCTCCGTGCTCACACCCGTCGCCGGGCTCATGGACCTCGCTGGGTTTGGTTTCTTCCTCGTTCTCCGGCGGAGGCGACTCAGCAGGAGGCTCAGAGTGTTTGTGTGGCAGCTGGCCGGGCTGCTGTGTGCTGCTGCTGACCGGCTCCAGCTCTGAATCCTCCTCTCTCCTCTCCTCTCTGGAGCCGTTGAGGGCGGCGGAAGAGGAGACAGACGTGGGTTCATCCGCTGTCTGAGAGTGTGAGGGATCTGTTGTGAGCAGGAAGAGGCTTTTACAACAACTACTTTCCACTTTAATGTTTGAGCACGTCCGATGGAGACGCATTAATCATTGCAGATTATTGGATTTTGGATCATTTTTACTTTCACTGTGTCTCCGATGTCTGATGAAGATGAATCTATTGAAGTCACCTGTTTGCTGCTGCTGGCGGGCGAGCTTCCTCTCCAGGGCGCGCTGTCTGTTCAGCTCTATGCGTCTACGCTGCTCCTCGGTCAGGGAGGGGGCAGGCGGGGAGAGGGAGGTCTGGGAGGGAGCAGGCGGGGCGGGCGGAGCCGGGGTGGAGTGGATCGGCAGGTCGTTGGAGAAGCTGGTGCTGTTGAACGGATCCGGGTCCCCGAAGATGTGCGATTCAGGAGCGGCCGCTTCTTCACCTGCAGAGGACGAGTCAGTCTTTACAACAGACTGAAACACGTTTAAAAGAGCCTGAACGATGTAAATAATGTCAACCTCATTCTGTTTTATCTCTTACCGTCGTTCCCCATATAGTCCTCATGTGTCAGTGGCATGTCCAGTCGTATCCGTTTGAGACAGGTCTGCCACGGAGGGAAGGGTACATCATTAAATACTGCGCTGTAACAGTGTAAGGAAACATTTAGCACCCGTCTTCTTCCCACCTGCACTTCCTTCTTGCTGCCGAGCTTCTCCACTCTGTCAACGAAGTCTTCAAACTGCAGTTTGGGGTACAAGCGGTGGGCCCAGTTCTCCATCTTCTTCATCAGCAGCCGCAGGTCTTCAGCCTGGTTGGATTAAACACCATCAAACACTGGCTGAATGTATGCAGTGTGGTTATATACGAGTCTGTCTGTCTGTCTGTCTGTCTGTCTGTCTGTCTGTCTGTCTGTCTGTCTGCTCTTACCTCGTGCCCTTTGCCCTTGAAATGGACGTTTTCAAACAGTGTCCGCAGAGCTGGAAGTCCTCTTTCTGAGACCAGCCTGAAGAAGAGTTCAATGTTAACGCTGTAGGTTCGACCAGCAGCTGATAGAAAATGACGTCTGCATTAACAGACTTTATTCGGGGACAGCAGAACATCAGTTTATGAAACAGTTTAGTGTTTACACGTCCGGCAGAGACAGATGGTCAGTATCCTTCATGTGGACTCTAAATGCTCCACAGAAATCATTTTACAGATGTTTTCTTGACGCTACAGGACAGCAAGTGCTCCCAGTCGTTCATGATGAAGTGACTCAGGTTCATTAGCAGTACGTGGTCCGTGTTTAAAGACTCTACACTACTTTAGCCCCAGCCCACAAATAACAGTTCAAATGAAGCTGAATTTATTTGATTTTTACAGAACATTTATCTCCTCGCCTATTAAAAGAAGCAGAAAGTGTTTGTTGTGTGTACACTAACACTGCTGTGCAAGTATTTATCAACCAAACAACACAGAATGAAACACACTCAGCTGAATATTCACTGTGAACAACTAAACTTAATGGACCATTTATTATGTCAAAAAGCTGCTTTCTGTAAATTAAAGGTTATTTTTCAATAAATTGGGGTAATATATTTAAAACGAACTTTCTACCATCAGCCGGCGACTCGCTGTCCTGCTTTCAGTCTGCAGTTGAACCCTTTAAATGCTTCGTGATGTGCGGATGTGGTACCTGTTAGAGTCCAGTTTGGGCTGCGGCCTCTTCACTCCTTTCCTTTTAGCAGCAGGGACGTCGGCCAGCTTGGACACGTCTCCGTCTTCGTCCCCTGTATGAACGGCACACAGGACAGGACGCTTATACAGCAGGACAGACAGGAGCCACTCTTTCAAATTATAATGTCAGAACTAGTGTTGTAGTACTCGAGACCATTGTCTGAGGTCTCGGACCGGTAAAGAGCACCGCTGACGGGCTTTCTGTCCATGTCTTACTGATGATGACATGAAAGCTTTATTGTGACTTGTCAATTCAGTTTTGATAATATGATGAACTTTTTCGAGAAGTGAAACAAGTGTGTTAAGATTAGTTTCATTCTTTGTGAAAACAACAGAGCAAAGACTGTTTTTGTTGTTGCATTTATGTAAAAGCAAACTTAAATAAAAAGAAAACTCACATTTTGATGTTATGTTATGATTTACCTTTGATATATATATATATATTTGATATAACACTAGTCATAACACAATAACTTCCTCCACTTTCTAGCTATGAACTGCTTTTATGATCCTGAATATTGTCCCGGCTGATGGATTCTGACCGCCGGCTCTCACCGAACGGGTCTCCCTCGTCTCGTCCTGCGTGGCCCGGGGAGCGAGGTGCCGGGAGGGGAGGGAAGGCTTCGTCCTCCAGGTCATTCTCCAGCGGGTCGAACATGGTGTGAAAGGTGAAACCTGAAAGAGCCACAAGGATGTTACGTTAATTCCAGATTACAGAAGTGAATTTACTGAAGGACAACCAATGAAAACAGCAGATTAACTCAAACAGCAGCTGTAACAGAAGAATTACACTAGTTAGGATCAATAAAGTAATCTATTACCTGAACCATCATTAATAATATAAATCTCTCATTATCAACCTCTAGGTGGACGTACAATAACTCAAATACTGCACTTAAGTACACAAATGTTACCTTAAAATATAAAAAATATAAAATATAAAATATGTACATTTTATATTTATTAGTATATAAAGCCGTTAATTGTAACATTAAAAACGCTCTTTGTGTTAAGATAAGATACAGCAGCTGCAGATACAACACAACAGATAATAAAATACACATTAAATATAAAATTAAAATAGAAAAATAGAAGAAATAATGAAAATAGAATAAGAGTTTTATGTACAGCAGAACAGTTCAGACCACAGACAGGTGAAACATTAATAATCTGTGTGTAATTATATGTAGTTATAATATGTGTGTGGCAGAATTTACATATTTTAGTGGCTGACTGTTAAAGTTAGTGTCGCTGTGAATTATATTGGCCACCAATAATCGATATTAAACAGGAATATCGACCCCGATATGAACCGCCCCCCCCTCCGGTAGCTCACAGATGGTATCGTCCTCAGGTGGCGGTAAACTCAACCATCAACAGACTCAATACAAAGTGTAAAGACCGACATTGCTTCGTGTTTCACCGCCACACAGAGGATTAACTCTGTCAGCAGAACTATAACGTCTGTGTCTCAACGTTAGCAGAAGATAACTTTATGTGTCAGCAACGTTTTTTAGATAAAAGAGAGGGAAAACCGCGCTGCTAAGCTAACGAGCTACAAGCTGCCGAACAGCGTCACTGCGGGTACGGTGGCTCGCGTGTGAGCTAAAGTTAAACCGCGAGTCTCCGACGTGATAAAACAGCCGATAAAACACTTTATTTACTATGTTTTAGTTTAAATGTGGTTTTTAATGTTGTTATAGTAACGTTACCGGTTGAGAGACGTCCGGCGGCGAAGCAGCTGCGCAAAACGTCCGGTGCGAAGCTTTGCTTTTCAAAATAAAGTCCACAGAGACGTGACGCTGAAGATGAGATCGACCTTATTGATCCTTCACAATAAAAGTCACTTGTTACAGCAGATACACAAAATAAAGGAAAATACACTTTAAAATAAAATAAAGAATATAAAAATGAAAGATATAATAGAAGTAGAAAAATAAGAATAGTAGTTGTAAATATTCTATTTGTTATTATTCTATTTGAATATTCTATAGATATTTCAATCTATCTAAATATGTACACTATATACAGCTTTTAAATAATAGTTATTATAAATGCTGATTAATACATTAGATTTGAATGTAATTTCAAAATGTTATAAACTAAAACATTTTTCATTATAATTTTATCAGCTTAGAAGCTTATCTTGCCTAAAGTAAAGAGAGGTCATTCTTTGGTATAAACGGGATAATGCCTGGCGAGGTGTCCGTTATCAGGAAATAATTCAATAACGCAGCGTACGATCAACAAACTGTAAATGTAACTTTACAGTTTCTTTAATGACAACACTAGCTAGTTATCAGCCATGTCATTGTCCCCAAATCAATATCAATAATTTCACTAAGGACAGGTTATATTAGTGAGGCTGCAGCCAAACACCTCCTCAGGCATTATCACTAACATGTGTTCTGTTTTTGATCAGTTTATTACTTTTACTTCAATTGAGACCGTTGATTTGACACTTTTTTGGTATTTGAAATAAAAATGTTTCCTGTCATTACTAATGTTGTCAGGTGGCGACCAATAATTAATGGTTAAAGTGAACACATATTGTAGTAAATCTATTAATTTGTGTATTTGTATCATTATTTTCTGTCTTTATTTTTTTATACTCTTTATTTATTAAAGTGTGACTCCTTACAGTAGTTATAGTAAAACAAAATATAGTAAACAACCAACATTTATATGTTCATTACTACTGTAAGTTCCTTCCCACCCCACAATCCCATCCTCTAAAATGAATAATAATAATAATAATAATAATAACAGGCTCAGGGAGTATCTTAAAGTATATAACTTTTTGTTTTTAATATTAGTTTTTTATATACTCTGTCAAACAGAGTAACAAGATTACTTATGATTTAGGACCTCCATTTTATAAATTTCATTAATTGTATTCTTCCATTTAAGTTGTGGTGGTTCTGGTTTCAGACATTTTTTTATTATCTGTTAAATTGTTCCTATTCTTACATTTCTAAAAAGATATTTATAATTTTCTTATGAGAGTTGCTGTGGTGCTCTAACGAGCAATAGTTGTTCGAGTCCTAAATGTAGTTTAACTCCATCATTTTACTTATTTCTGTCCTGCAGCACTATCGACAGAAATTAATAAAATCTGCTGTCTTTAACTTAATTAATTCAATTTTAAGCTTAAGATATTAGATACCTTAACAACAAAATGCAACAATCTTAAATTATAATAAAATAATACAATGTAAAACAATGTAATAATACAAAACACAACGACACAATAATAATGGGTTAGGCCCAATAGACACTCATTGTGTCCAGTTGCAGGGCTTTTAATTTGAAAGGTAAAACGCTGTTCTATAAAGCCTCCTTTTGACAAATTTACATACAAAACAATTTTCTCACACAACAATCGGCACCAAATCAGTCTTAAAAATGTATTTAATTGAAGTTTATGATCCACAGAGAGTACAACACTTTATTCTCCATCACTTTTATTTCTTAATGTTAGAAACTTGTTGACAATAAACCATCTCCTCTCTGCAGCTCGAGTAGCCTATAAAACTTTGCTACTTCAAAAACCACACAAGACCAGTTTGTTAAAAAATAAATGGTAATATGCCAAGCGTGAATTCATTCTTCCAGAGGTGTGACAGGTACCGGCTATTTGGACTGAAGAGATTTTTCAAAACAGAACAGCAGGACAGTTAAATCAACAAAATGCTCTTGACAGGATAAAGTTTTACAGCTTTGAAGTCACTCTCAGATTCATTTCTTCAGCTGCACAAGGCCACTGACGGAGGGTGTGTGTGTGTGTGTGTGTGTGTGTGTGTGTGTTCAGAGGCGTCCACGCAGCAGGAACATGAGGAAGACGGCACTGAGGAGGATGCAGAGCGTGCACACTGTGGGAACCACAATCTCTGTTACCATCTCCATGTGGCCTATCAGCGGATCTGAAACACACAAAGGGAAAAGTGAGTGAATATGTGTAATCTGTGTGTTACAGTTCCAGCTTCAGATCAGTGGAAAAGGCTCCCATGGACCTTGAAAACATACAGGAAAATCAATGCATCCTATAGATTTATTTCAATTGAGGTGTTTTTAAGGGCCCTGGAGTTCTGGGTTGGTTCACCGCTGTCCTAACCCCCAAAAACAACACACACATTGTTTTCCTCCACAGAGGGAGTTTCCTCAGTTCTCATGGTTAGTCAATATTCTTGACAGTATATTGATGATATAATAATTTGATCGGATTTACTTCAAATATGTCAGTGAAGTCTAAAGACCATCGTGGTCAGAATCTACAAAGGTTGTGTCTGTGGCGCGACACAGGAAGTTGTTATAACTTTAGTGTAGTCCAATCTGCACCATAATGCACATGTCTGATAAGATATATATATATATATATATATATATATATATATTCTGTCAGTGGTCCCACCCTGAACACATCTACATGCTCCGCCTACTGGCAACAGGAAGTAAACATTGTATGGTGATTGAGCAAACTCCGTCTGCTGAGGAAGGCTAAGAGGAAATTGAAAATTAGAAATGCACCTTAATAACAGTTATGTATTGCAGAAAGTGGGATTTTAATGTTGCTGTGGTCAAGATGGAGCTAATGTGAAGCTATTTTATTTATCGTGGGGCTGAAACAATGTGTCTTAATCTGCAAAGTAACAAATAAAGTGGAGTAAAACGCACTGTATTTGCTTCTGAAATGAAGTAGTATGAAGTATTCAGTAACACTGTCGAGAGATCTCACTCAGAAACAACTTGTGTACCTAAACTTCATCATGCACTGGCCAAGCCTTTTGCATTCCTGCATGTTCCTGATTTCCCTGGGATTTTCTTCTAGCTGGAGGGGCAAAACAAAGAAAAACCCCGTTAGATAGCGGAAGAACAAGCTTGAGACAGATTTTTCCTTTGTTTGGCCCCACCTAGCTTGTACACTGTGAATGCTTTACTGTACTAACCTGCAGCCAGGAGCTGGTTACTGGAGGAGCAAGTCTCCACGGCTTTCCTCTTCCAACTCTCCACCTGTAAAGATCAGACAAACTCTTAACAGTTCAATTACATCCTCTATGCTCCGGAAGGTTTCTTTTTAATGTGTCGTTAGGAGTTTACCTCTCTCTGATTGGGAAAGCCATTAGAGCTGATGATGCGTTTATAGAACTGGACCGAGGCCTTCGGGTAGCGCGGCTTGTTTTTGTTCCTGAAGTCCACGTAGTAGAGTCCGAACCTCTCGGAGTATCCTTCGTCCCACTCAAAGTTGTCGAGGAAAGACCAGGCAGTGTAACCCTTCACATTCGCCCCATCCTTGATAGCTAACCACAGACAAAAAACAAGCACATGGCAGCTTTTGTTAGTCGTATAAAATCTGACAAACACTCAAACATGTACCAGAGCGTTATCTTTGTGTTCAGAGCTTTTTCACCTTTGAGCATTTCATTGATGTAGTCTTTGAAGTACTTCACTCTCCAGTCGTCACAGAGGTCGGTGCAGAGCATTTTCTCTGACACACCGTTTTCTGTCACGTATATCATTGGGTTTCCATACTGAGTCTGTTACGGAGATATTACATTCAGGGTTGAGGAGATACATACTCATATGTTCATATCATTATGTTCTTACAGTATATTTACTCATCTGATAGGGCTGCAAAATTATTTAATTCAGTGGTTACCAACCTTTTCCCTCTTTTTTATCAGAGTAAACTAACATATTTAATGGATATTTCATATTATATTCACTGCATAACAATAACAGTACAGAACAACTGATAAACTGCAATTTGGATGAATTTTGAGCAGATTATTTTCTGTGAATATTTAATCAGAGATGAGTTTTACTGATATTTCTAGTATTTTTTTTTATATAATTCTCTGTCTATATTGTGTATTTTGTATTTGTTATTAATCATACTATCTAAACTTTAAGAAAAACACAATTAAATGTTGTATAAATTACCATTGTTTGCTAATAAATAATTACACTACGAAACTGAAACTGAAACTACAAATTGTAATTTTTTTATTTGTTTGTAATTAAACAAAAATGATATAACTTAATTATTGGTCTTTAGAGTTGCTCCTGGGTGTATTTTTGATAGAGGCAGGCTAGCAGCTTCCCCTTGCTTTCAGTCTTTATGCTAAGCTAAGCTAATCACACGTAACATACAGCGAGTGGTATCGATCCTCTTAGATAACTACAAACTATTCCAGTAGTTTCAAAGGCATTTATTGCTTTTTAAAAAGCTTTTAATTTCTCCTTTTATTTGGCTCTAATTTCTTTTATCAGTTAACTTTTGATAGAGCCCAACTTGCATCATCAGCTACATGCTGATTTTAACTAACATTTTCCTCACAGAAACCTAAACCGTTTCATTCTATGTTAAATAAATCTCAGCTGGATATCTGGATTTTATTCAGATTTGTGTCGTGTACCTTGACAAAGTTCAGCAGGCGTCGGAAACCCCAGGGAACCGAGTAGAGCCACTCAGAGCCAGGATCAGGCCACTGTGGGTCGACCAGCTCAGCAAGGTCACGATCTGCAAAGTAGCTGTCTCCGAGGCCTGATGGGTAATTCTTCAGGGTGACGTAGCGAGTAGTGAAATGTCCGAGGCCCAGGAAGTCACAGGTTCCCTTGATGTAACTCTTCTCCTGAGGCGAGAAGACGGGCAGCCGAGAGGCTCCCAGGCCCTGCTGGCCACTCTTCCTGCCTGAAGGTGAAAGTTCAAGGGATTGTACAATGAAACTAAGACACATAGAGATGCACGCAGATGTGACACAGTTGATTGTTCATG